AAAAAAGAGTAAAAAATGCAAAAATTGCCTAAAAAAAAGAAAAGGTGCTCCATGGCTGGCGACGCGTTTTCTCGGCGGCAATTCAAAATGGAGATAACTTCTGGCGGCAGATACTTTTTTAGCATGCTGATTCCATGTCTGAATGAAAAAATTGAACTGTGTCACAGAAGTACTATACAAAATTAGAGTTTTCTTAATAGTTTAAAAGAAAAACTACGATTAGCGTAATCCACCTTTAAGGGCCAGTCTATGATTTCTGTAGAACTTTTTTTGGTTTTTATAAAATTTTCAGTATAGAGAAAATTCAGGGTCGTGGGGTGCTCTATCCTTGTGTTCTGATCAAAATGACTTTCCTAAAAACTTTCTTCATCCTAGATTTTGAAATTTTCAGTCAACTAAAGATTGTCCTTATTTTTGTGTACTGATCACCTAAAATTTGACCTTCCCCCCAAAAAATTCCTTCCTCCTAGATAACCCTATCAAACTCTATACACTCCCCAAAATCGAATACCTTAGATCATGAATAGTTTGCTGTTCAGTAGACGTTGCAGCGGCCGTCGGCGACACCAACATTACTAGGCGAATGAAGGAGAGGAAGGGAATCACCCCGCACCGAGAAAAAGGAGGCGTGTCTGCCTGTCTGCGCTCTCTCTCATCCCCCCACACTATTTCCATTCAGCCCAGTTACTGTAGTATTGTCTGTTGTGTTGTGTAATATCTCCGACAAATCTTTTCCTTTTTCTTTTTCCATTCGGCCTTCTTCTTTCCTTTTCGCCGATTTTCTCTCCATCCCGATGCAGGCGAAAGAAGAAGGGGGGCTGCAGATTTCAATCGAATGAAGAAGAAGACATTGGGGGGACTTAGGAGGACGAGGGTCACATGTTTTTAGTGATTTTTGGAAAATAGGTGAGAAATGTATAAACAATTTTCGTGTTCATGGAGGGGATGGCCTAGAAACCCAAAATTTGGAAAATTAGGCCATATCACTTTTAAAGGTTTGGCTGAATTTCCCATACTCTCGTGGCTATTTTCGTGGTCTTAGAACTCAAAAATATTGATTTTGAGCCGAGTTACGACGATTTCTAGGTGGTGGCCTAGAAACCCAAAAATTTGGGAAGTTAGGCCATCATAAGATTTTATTTATTTAAAAGTTTCGCCATGTTTTTCTGAGCATTTTCGTGTTTTTAGGACTCAAAAATACCAATTTTGAGCTGAGTTATGACGATTTCTAGGTGATGGCCTAGAAACCCAATATTTTGGAAATCTAGGCCATCACAAAATTTGACTGTCCGAAAAGGTTCGCTATTTTTTTCTGAACATTTTCCTGTTTTTAGAACTCAAAAATATGGATTTTGAGCCGAGTTACGACGATTTCTAGGTGATGGCCTAAAACCCAAAAATTGGAAAACTAGGCCATCAAATTCTGTTTTCTAGGAAATGCCCGCCTAATTGACCATGAGCGATTTGTTTTTACAGAATTCAAAAAAATTGAATTTGAACCGAGTTATAGCCGAAATACTGAAAATTTTTATTCTGAGCAATTTCAGAAAATTCAGCATAACTCGGCTCAAACTTGATATTTTTGAGCTCTGAAAAGTGGAAATTGATCAGAATGTCATTTGGAAGAGAATCCATCTAAAGTTGACATAGTGGCCTAGAAAACCGAATTTCGAGAAAGTTAGGCCACCAAACCATTTTTACGCTGGGTTTCGAAATTTATATGCCTAGATGCGTCTTCAAATTTCTCACAAAATGGTCAAGAAACCAAGCCGAAATCTTCATTTTGAGCCGAGTTATTGTGGAAATACTGCGAAAATGTTATTCTGAGCAATTCATCAAAAACAATACTTTTTCAATATTTTCAGGATTTTTTTAATGGAAACTTGCTCCTTTGATTTATCATTTTTTATTATTTACTGTTTTTTTTTCTAGTCGCTTTTTCATTTTTTTTCTGGAATTCCTCCGACAAAAAAACATGTTTTTTTTTCAATCAAAAATAATCGAACGATTTTTATTATTAAAAAAATTTCATGTTTCAAAGTAAAAATATCCTCAAAACCGCTATAACTGAAGCTAGTGAAGCTAAGGAATTGCCTGGGGCTAACTGGGTGGTCGTGGGTACTGTAGTGGAGGTTGGGGGTACTGTAGGGGGTACTGTAGGTGGTGCTGTAGGGGATACTGTACTTGTTGGAACCGGATTAGGGGTTGTTGGAGGGACTGAAGAAGTTATAGTAGGTGGAGCTGGGGGATTGGGGCTGGGAGAGGGTACTGTAGTTGCAATGGGTATTGTAGAGGGTACTGTGGCTCCTGTACTGGGTACGGTACCCATGGTGGGTACTGTAGCATCGGTTGGTACGGTAGAAGGTACTGTAGCTTCTGAACTGGCTACGGTACCTATGGTGGGTACTGTATTTTTAACTGGTACCGTACTGGATACTGTAGCTGCTGTAGTGACTACGGTACCTACAGTGGGTACTGTGGTTACCATAGGATTAGTTGTTGAGGGATCCGTGGGTACTGTAGTCATGGTGGTGAGTACGGTAGCATCAGTGGGCACTGTAGTTTTTTCAGATACCGTACTGGGTACTGTAGCTGCTGAAGTGACTACGGTAGCATCAGTAGGTACTGTAGTTTTGACTGGTACCATAGTTTGGACTGTAGCTTCTGTAGTGATTACGGTAACTGCAGTGGGTACTGTAGCCGTGGTGGTGAGTACGGTAGCCTCACTGGGTACTGTAGCTATAGTGGGTACTGTAGCAGTAGAAGATACAGTAGGATTAGTGCTCACTACAGTAACCGTAGAGGGTACGGTACCGTCAGTGGATACGGTACCATCGGTGGGCACGGTACCATCGGTGGGTACGGTACCGTCGCTGGGTACGGTACCGTCGGTAGGTACGGTACCTTCAGTGGACCCTGTACCAGTTGTAGGAGAATTTGAGGATCCAGTGACCGCAGTGGGTACTGTAGAAGCTACCGTATTTTTGGTCGTGGAGCCTACAGTACTAGTCCCGGGCAGCAAGTCCCCAGCCATCCCAAAATATTGACAATAAAATGTCCCGGGCGTCAGGGAACTTGAGTTAACAACCAGCTTGTTAGCCTGCATTGGGCTCCAAAATATGGAGCCTTGAAGGTTGGTCCCATTGTGGTAGCTGAAAAAAAAATTTGAAAAACTCCATGCGCCTTTAAGGTTAGGACCTGGCTTCCATCATGCCACCATCTTCAGACATGAAATAAACATTGAGATCCGAATCCAAGGTGGCCGATATCTGCAAATGAGGTGTTTGCGGACTGAACATCTTATCTTACGACAGTTCTGGTGCCTTCCCTCTCGCGCCCCTCCCTCTCTTTCTCTGCGCGCCGCCGCCAGGTGTACGCCCTCTCCCTCCCTTTCCGGGTGTCGCCCCGTGGCCTAGCGGTTAGCGCTGCCGCCCTCCAATTTTGCATCGCGGGTTCAATCCCCCTTGGGGTCAAATCTTTTTTTCTTTTTTTCGAAAACTCACCAACATTCCCACAGTCTTTCCTCTTGTATAATCCATGTCAAAATTCACCAGGTGCTCCTGATAAATGTAATTATTCACAATAACTCCAGTAGCGTTCACTGAAGTGGTGTTATGGATCAGTTCTTCTTTGTATTTATTCTCAATTTCCATGGTGACTGCTCCAGAAGTTGTGAAGTACCAGTAGTCTAGGTTGATTTGAAGGGGTTCGACGGTGGGGAAGAACCTGAAAAGTGGCAAGTGCGCTCTATTGTGAATTTCGATGGAGCTCATTTGCTGCGGTACTTACATCCTTGTGGTGTTATAGACCTGCCCATTATCATCATAATAGGTTAGGTACACTGGATTATTGAAGAATCGATTTTTAGTTTGAGTCAGCCAATCAACTGGTGGGTATCCGTAATGGAAATGAAGATCGCTGTCAGGAGATTGATTGATTTTTGAGATATACGTAGTTTTCAGAGGGTCCATAATGTTAGAACTCCCTAATGCGGTGTTCAGGATTACAGCTGTGAAATTGGTGGGGATGTTGATGGTGTGGTTGGATTTGACCACGAAGACGGTGAATTTTGGGTCTGAAAACACAATTTCCGAGCTCCTAGTTATCAATTCTGTTTCCCCAGGAAAAAACAAAAAGATTTGACCCACCTCGGATTCGAACCCTCGATGTGAGATTCAAAAACAGGAGCGCTAACCACTTGGCCATGTCGACATACGCCAGACGACTAAGAGGGGGGCACTGAGAAAGCCAAGAGTGTCCGCCTTACTCTACGCTCTCACCCCCCCCCTCTACGTGTTGACCCCGCGGCCTAGTGGTTAGCGCAGTTGCTTTTGGAATTTTCATCAAGGGTTCAAACCCCATTGGGGCCAAATCTTTTTTTCTTTCTTTTTAATGCTATGCGCCTTTAAATGACTCACCAATCGCCTGTTTCAGACTTGTCACATAAATAAATCCGGTCAAATTTTGGGTTACGGTATAATCGTTGGAAGTACTAATTGACAAATTATTGTGAATCGTGAAAAAACTTGCTGTTCCATCGGTGTTTACGTAGTTGATTTCGTCGAGTCTGGAAAAAATGGATTGGGCGGGAATTCAAATTTTTGAAAAACGAGCTTACGTAAAAGTGGTGATGCCTGATGTGACAGTGATTTTTTTCAGCAAAGTGTTATCATCGTTTGAAGCCACATAGAGATTTGAGCCGGGCTGGAATAGGAATTTCAATTAGTTTTTTGATTTTCGTGGCGGGACCCAAAAAAATTAAAATTGCTCAGAATATGGTCGGCGTTTCTGCACTGTTTTTGCAGTGTTTCTGCTATTTTTTACCAAAAACCTCGATACCTACCTCCACACCTAAGAAAACCGATGGTCCAATCGGTGAAAATTCGGCCAATGGCATCACGAATGGCCTTGCTTCACATTTAGGAATAACAAGTAAAAAAATAGTAAAAATCAAAATTTTACACATTTTCTTCTTTGAAATAAATCATTTTTGCTGTCCATCTCCTTATAAAAAGTAACAGGAATTCAAAAATTGATAAGAAGAATTAGTGTTTGCAATGTGTTAATCCTCTGTTTTAAACACCTTTTTCTTGACTCATAGGAAGAAAAAAAATTTTTAGTGGTGTAAAAAATTTTTATAGTGCTTAAAAACACGGTAAAAATTTTTGTACGTAATTTTTTTTTCTCGGTTTCTACGCTCCATCTCACACGCACTTTTACAAATTTCATATTGCGCCTTTAAATTCTGACAGTAATCCGCGCTTAAGCCGAAGGAGCGCGCACCATGTTTCCAGAGCACTTTTCAGTAATAACTTTTGATCAAATTTTGTCAATATTATATTCAACATGATGTGAAGAAAAAGTTATATTCAATATAATTCAAAAAAAGCTTAGGCCCTGATTTTTAATTTTCCAACAAAATGAGAAAAATGCCTACGTATCGCTGAGTCGCCGCGCAGTTGGCATGCGACCCTACAGTAAGACAGAGCCCGCGAATGAAACCTTTTGAAAACACGTAATTCAATGTGAAAAATTCTAGTTTTGAAAACATCTTAAAGGCGCACCCATTTTTCTTAGCACAGGTCTCACTGGGCTCACCTCAATCCCAGTAACAATATATAATACCATTGGTGAGATTCTGTTCAGGAGCAAAATCTTCGGCTCCGATTTCACATGAAAAACTGAAATTACAGCCAAAAAAACTTCCAAAAATACCAATTTAGGCATCCTTATCACCGTCCAAATGGAGAAACCAGGAAGAAAAAAGTTCAAAAATTGGCAATTTTATTATAGGTCGTTAAAATTCTAATAGAGAAGTGATAAGCTTTTTTCTCAATTCTAATTTATTTTTAATTTTTTTCATCAGTTTTTTTCTAAATTTTTAATCTGTTTTATTAAAAAAAAAGAATAATACACAAGTAATCATCACGTCTAATTCGAGTTCAAAATAATCTCCTTTGATCTCTCATACAACCAAAATCCAAGTGGAAATGCGACGATAGTTACCACAAAGGCAATTTCGAGATAGTAGATTTTGAAGAGGTTATATGCAAATGAAGGTTTGTGGGGTATTGGGGTGTATCTGGAAAACAGGTTAGTTGCCCAAAAAAAAGTAAAAAAGATTTGCCTTCAGGTGGAGTCGAACCCGCGACTCCCAGTTTCAAAAGCGGGAGCGTTAGCCACTAGACCACGCGCACATGTTGCAGAGGGGGGGGAGAGGGCGTACAAGAAAGCGCGGCGGCAGAGAAACAGAGAGAGAGAGAGGGGGGGGGGGGAGGTGGTCCCCATACAGTGAATGGAACAGTACGTAAACACCGTCACGTCAGATTGCAGACAAATTCACAAAAACTCTACTTACTTTGCTTTGAATCCCTCTTTGATAGTGTTCCCGACCACTTTCTCCTTCTCCTCTGGACCCAAAACCTTCTCCAGAATTGCCTCCACCTCCGAAAACGCCTTCAATGCCAAATGAATTTTGTCTCGATTTCCAGATATTGGGAGTTCCAAATCTCCGATTTTATCCAAGGAGAAATCGATGTCTCGAATCTTCATAGCCTCCTGGAACACTTTGCTCCATAAATCCGAAAAGTTTGAATCAGTGGGAAAACTGGCGAGAGTGGCGTTATAGTCTTGAAGTTCTCTCCACAAATTAACGATTTTGATTCGATCATCATTGTTGAAATCAGGGAGATTTTGAAGATTTTTGGTCAAGTTTGTTATAGAATCAAAGTTTTGAAGAAGTTTTTGAATGTTTCGCAATGATCGGATTCCGTGGGAAACATCTTCAGCGGTGTTTTGAAGGTTCTGGAAAATTGAAAAAATTTTTGAAACACCATGCACCTTTAAGGTATCAAGTAGCTCACCTGAATCTTTTGGAACCTCGACTTCCCAGAATCCGTCGCATCCTTTATCACACTTCTAATTCCTTCCTGGAACCCTTCAGTTTTCTCCAATAAATCCAATGTTTTCGAAAGGGTCGGTTGGGATCCTTGAATAACACGCACATTTTTCACAAAGCTCATTAGTTTGTCCAGTTTTGAAAGGGATGATTCATTGAGACACTTTATAACTCCAGTGATGTTAACGGTTTTGAGATAGTCATTAATAGCAGGTGATACATCTGGAGAAGGAAATGATGCTATCAAGGAGTAGAAGATTTTTTCAAGTCTCTGTAAGTTTTGGATACTTATTAGGTAATGCACAAGAATTTTGTGATTATTTTATAGTACAAATCGCTCTTCTAGGACGGCCAGTGCCGAGTAACGCACATGGCTACTGTCCACCTTTTTTGCGAACTGTTTTACTTTATCGATTTTTGGAAACATTATGGGAATAACGAACTTCAGCTCCATCAACTACAGACTACTGTGGAGTTGTTTGAAACAGTGTTTGAATAAACATTGAAATGCTAGAAAACTATCGGAAGGGTATGAAAATGTGAAATTTCCTAAAAACTGTTGTTTTTGGCCTCAAAAGTCATACTATAGCGCTTTTTTCAGAGCCTCATGTCCCTCAAACATTGCAATAACTCTTTTCATTTTGATCCAGTACCTTTGTTTGATAGCTTAAAATAAAGATGAAAACATGCCTAATAAAAAAGGAGCGCCGAAATCCTAATTTTTTCAGCCGATTGTTTCACTAATCTACAAAAAATGGAAAGCGAAATCGAATTTGGTTCGGAATGTGCCGAGATGATAAGAGATTTCTCAAAAATCAGTTGAAAATTGCACCCCTTTACGGTGAGGCGAGCGAGATGCGCGAGACGAAAAGTGTTAGACAGATGGCCCCTTGCGTACTTGCCGTTGAGGAGACTGTGTACAATTATTGAACTGATTTCCCAAAACTGAACAAAAATACTCATGGAGCGTCCAATAAAGCAGAAGCGCTCTAAGCAATAAAAAACCGGAGTTCTGGAAGGAAAAATAAATTCTTAATTTCCCGGTTTTCAGTGCAGCAGGCTTGCACTTTTCGCGGACGCTCCTTGATCAAATGCATTTCGCAGTCAATCTGTAACTCACATCCTCCAAGTATTCCCGGTCTTCGTGTGCCTCTTGCTGCCACAAATCAATCAATTCCCACCGTTCTTGCAGGCTCAGCGTAGTGTTTTCCACAATAATCTTCAGCGGCTCGAGCTTGGTCAAAATTTTCGTGAACTCATTGTCTGGGTCTTCGAACAATATTTCTCGACCTCTTTTCTTCACATCATCCACTTTCTCTTTAATAGTTTTCAAGTTTTTCATCATACTTTGGTAATCATACTCGTTGATTTTTTCAAAGCTTGCTATGTCTTGAATGCATTCTATTTCAGTTTTCCCAAAATCGGAAATTTGCTGTCCATCTTTAAAAATATCCGATATCAGAGCAACTTGTTCAGTGAAATCTTGAGAAAAGCTCCGAAACCCTTGAATAAGTTCTTCTTCCCATTTTGGATGAATCTCAGAAGTTCGTTGGAGCAGATTGAAAACAGGCGTGAGCTCCGAATGCAACTTATCCAAACTCTGATTTCTCTTGACCGCTTCGTTGTTGAACCAGTCACTGTTCAGCTCATAATCGATACGTTGAGTTTCGAGGAAACTGATCGATAACAGTGGTTGGTCGGGGTTTGGGAGCACGGAGGACAGGGTTTGGATGAAGTTGCGAAGTTCCATTGGGAGCCAGCGACTTGCTAATGAATAAGATCTGTTGACTGGGCTAAGGAATTCTTCTAAAGTATTGAAATCCATCCGAGCTTCATTCCATTCATTGGAGAATTTCAGAAAGTATTCAAATGTTCTGATGGCATCCTTCAGATCGAAATAGCTCTTCAGCTTTTTTCGAAGATTCAAAATTTTATCCATTTCTTCCTTTAGGGGTTTGAAAACATTTTTTATAAGTCTTGCGGCGTTGTCTTTGTACCAAGCCCCAAGTGTTTCAACTTTTCCAAGCGAAACCATCCAAGACTTCATAAGGTCAATGGAAGCTTTTGGTAAAGTAGTTATGCTCTTCTCCACCTCCTCCAATGTCTCTCCATACTTCTCGATCTTTTCTTTCGCCTTTTCAATATTTTCAACGCTTAATCTCCCTTGATACCGTGTTACCCATTTCAAAGTCCTCATCAACTTCGCCATTTTATCAGATTCATCCTTTCCAGGTGGTTTGATTTTATCAATAGAATCGTTGAACTCTTTGAATAACTTCATAGTTGAGGCAACATCCAATTCAAGAAACTTCAGAAGAGAATTTCGTTTTGGGATTTTCAAGATTTCAGCGACACCAGTGTGGATGTTCGGGTAGCCAGAATGAAAGCCATTACGGATGGCGATGGAATTCAGAAGGTGGGAAATCAAGGAGAGCTTTTGGAGTGGTTCGTCGAGAGTGGTGGCTAGAAAAA